CTAGCTATATCGGATTTCAACTGATAGCTGTTTGTTTTAAAGAAGTTTTCTTGCCTTTCTATTTCTCTGTATCTCTTCATATTCAAGAACTTGCCTGTTCTTTATTCTTAGGTTATAGATGCCACACTGGAAAAGACAAAAGGAAAAAGAGGGTATCTGAGTTAAGAAGAGGATAATCATTAGGAATAGGAAGGAATAGGAGGACTGGTAAGCTGATTACAAAGGAGCCTGGGGGAGGCTGTATTTTCCACTCCTTGAATCTGCACTGGTCTTGTGATTTGCTTTGAGGAAACACTGTATGTAGTTCAGAGCCCACGCTTTAAGAGGTCTTGCAATGTCTGCCCTCCTAGATGCTGCCCTGAAGGTTCCATGTAAGAAGCTAGCCTTGCTTCCTGGAAAGTGAGAGGCCACATGGAGATGCATCAAGGCACCTCAGCCAAGAGTCAACCAACCACCAGATGTTTGAGAGAAGTCACATTAGACGTTTTATTTCAGCTGAGCCCCCAACTGAATGCAGTTGTGTGAGTGAGCCCAGGTGAAACCAGCAGAGAAACCACCCAGCCAACTCACAGATTTGTGAGAAATATAAATCATCTTGTTTTTAGCCACTAAGCTTTGGGATGATTTTGTTACACGGCTAAAGGTAACTGATGCACAGCCTGATGGTGAGTTTTACCTTTAATTAGTCTACCTGGCAAGTCTTAGTCAATTCTTTCCACTTTCCAACTGTTTAGGTTTTTTACAACAATAAAACTCTACATCTTTAAATATTATATATCTCTGAAGGGTCATTAATTTGTTCATTCATTCACTGATTCACTCAGTTTGGTGTTGCTCAAGTATCATAAATGTGTTAGGAAGTAGCAAAATGAGACTTTACAGGTAGGCTGACACTAGGCCCCAGCTTTTCAATTCAATATGGGCTGACAGTTAAAAATGAAATAGAATAGATGTCAACATCACACATAGTTAAGCTAAGCATGGTTTCGACTATTAAAACATATGAGTATACTGATTCATAATATAAATGTTTCTCTTATCTTAGTAAAAACAGTTTGAAAGTCACTGGACAAGATCATGGAAAGCACCACACAGTATCATGAAAAACCTGGATTTTCCCCTATAGTCAGAGGTGTCATTGAAGAGTTTTAGGCAGGGTTGTACACGGGTTTTAGACTGACTGACCTGGTGGCTGTGTGATAGATCTATATGAAGGAGGATGGCAGAAGTAGGGAGAGGAGTTAGAAGTCTAGGCTGAAACAGGGACAAACAGGGAGGCTTTCTTTTAACAAGGATTTACTAAGTTTGGAGAGAAATAAGCCTACTTGAGAAGTGTTCAGCATTTAGATCAGAAAAACTGAGATTGATTGGATATGGAGGTGAAGGGAAGGAAGGAATCAAGGACATGACTGATATTAGCAGGTTCTGGCAGATTTTATATGGGAAATAATTGTAGGAAAGACATCATGGGTGATAGAGATTTCTATCTTGTATGAACAGCATGGCCACGAGCAGGGATAAATAATGTAGGTATGAGAGTAGCATTTGTATTGGGGGCTTTATTTATTTTATCTTATTTTAAATTTTCTTATCGGGGGCTTTATTTATTAATTTAGTTTAGGGCATGGCAAATATCCATGCTGTTTACAGGACATTCAAATAGCAGGTAGCTAGATACAAGAGTTTGAAGCTGGAGAAACAGATGTGAGCATCATTAGATGGTGACTGAAACCAAGATGGTAGGTGTGCAAAGACACTGTATAAAGAGAGAGAAATGGGGCCAAGAAAAGAAATTTTAAGTGTTGGGGAAGCCCTTAAGTGGTCAAAAGAGGCCAGAATGATGGCAGCGGAGGAAGGCCAGGACCTGCAGTGCACCAGAAATCAAAGGAAAGGACATTGCCAAGGAGGCTGGGTTAAACAGTGTCAAGTGAAACAGAGAGATCTGGGGGGATGAAAACTAAAATTGGTCAGATAAGATTGGTAAAATAGGATCAGGCAATTGGGAGGTTATTTATAAGCACATCAGCAGAGTGTTGGGGGCAATAGCCAGATGGCAGTGGTTTAAATGAGTAGAAAGAGACAGGATGTATGGATAAGATTAAAAGGGAGCTTCTTCCTCCACCTCTCTTGCATGAGTTCCTTCTATTTGCTGCTTCTGCATTATCATAATTCAGGCCTCCACTGCCTCTTGCCTGGACCACTGCCTCCACACTGTTTACTGTACAGACCCTGGGATTTAAATAATCACAAGAATTGTGACAAGTAGAAAAAAACCTGACACATGAGTTGTCCTTACAGCACTAGGTGACAGGTACTCTGCCCACTGGAATACAGAGCCAGTGATAACAAGGCGGCAGGAGCATTTCAACTTTCCTGGGAAGTTTAGAAAATGTCCCAGAGAATGTGGCATTTGAACTGAATCTTGAAGGATGAGTGGGTTTTCCCAAAGGACTAGGCCATTTGCAGTAGAGGGATGGCACGTACAAGCCGAACAACAGGACATGTGGCCAGAAGGTAGGTGGGCGTCAGTCTGCTCGGCTGCCACAACAAATGCCACAGACAGGGTGGCTCATACAAAAGAAACATATCTCTCACGGTCCTAGAGGATGGAAGCCCAAGGTCAGGGTGCCTGCACAATCAGACCCTGCTGAGTTCCCTTTTCCTGCCTTACAGACGGCTGCCCTCTTGCTGTGTCCTTACTTGGTGGAGAGAGAGAAAGAGCCCTTCTCTTATTACAGCACCAGCCCCATCATGAGAGCACCACCCTCATGACATCATCCAAACCCGATTATCTCCCAAAGGCCCATCCCCAAATACCAAGGGTTAGGGCTTGAACACAGGAATCTTGGAAGGACACAATTTTATCTACAACACTCTGCCTCTAGCCCCCTAAAATTCATGTCCTTTTTGAATGCAAGGTACATTCACTTCATCTCAATAGCCCCAAAGGTCCCAACTCACTTCCCTATCAACTCTGAAGCCCAAGGTCTAAAGTCTCATTTAAATATCATCTAAAGCAGGCATGAGTGAGATTCAGAGCATGATTCAGCCTGAGGTAAAATTTCTCTCCAGCTGTGAACCTTTGTAAATAAGTGTTCTGAGATCTAATTTCCAAGTGTGTATGTGTGTGTGTGTATGTGTATGTGTATGGTGCAGGGGTGCGGGTAGTTTAAAGGTTCAATCCTACGAGACTGCCCCCTTCAGAAGCCAATCACAAGCCCAGGTTATTACCTGTAATTTTGACTGATTGGCTACAGATTGGAGGTTCCCATGATCCCCTCCTTGGACTTCAGATGCAATTCACAAGTTCAAGTTGTTACCTGAACTTATGACTGACTGACTATAAATCAGAGGTTTCACAATCCCCTCTCCTTTGGTTTAATTCATTTGCTAGAGGGGGTCCCAAAACTCAGAAAAACATTTTACTCACTAGATTACTAGTTTATCATAAAAGGATATAATAGGAATTGCCAGATGGGAGAGATGTGCAGGGCAAGGCATGTGAAAAAGGGTGTGGAGCTGCCATGCCCTCACCAGGTGTGTCACTTTCCCCAGATCGCCATGTGTTCACCAACCCAGGAGCTCTATGAACTCTGTCCTTTTAAGTTTTTATGGCTTCACAACAGAAGCACGACTGATTAAATCATTGGCCACTGGTGACTGACTTAACCTCCAGCCCTTCTTCCTTCCCGGGAAATCAGAGAGTGAGACTGAAAGTTCTAACCCTCTTTCCCAGGTTGGTTCCCCTGGCAACCAGCCTCAATCCTTAGGTATGGTCCAGAAGTCACCTGATTAACATAGCAAGAGACACCACTATCATTCTCATCAAACAACTCCGAATGACTTCAGTAGCCCTGTGCCAGAAACAAGGATGAAGATCACATATATATATTTCTTAGGATAAATCACAATCATCACACTGTGGACCCAGACAAATTTTGTGTTTCCAAAGTACAATGGTGGGACAGGCATAAGATAAACATCTCCAGTTCAAAAGGTTGAAATCAAAAGGAAGAAAGGGGTAACGAGTCCCAAGCAAATTCAGTACCCAGCAAGGTAAACTCCATCAGATCCCAAGAATCAAGATTAACCCCTTTGGTTCAATGACCCACCTTCCAGATCCACTCAGGCAGCAGCCCCTTTCCCATGACTCTGCTGGCCAAGGGTTTGCCCCCAAGGTTCTGCTGGGCATGGACATTATCCCTAAGGCTCCAGGGAGCTCTCCCCCCAGGACTCTGGGTGACCCCACCCTTGCGGTATTGATTAAAAGGCCCTGTCTATCCCCTTCAGTCCAATCTGGCAAGGTCCCTGCTCATAAAATCCCATAATCTCTTTATTGAGTGATAATCCAACCCCTGGCGTTCCCTTTTGCTTTCTCATTTTTTTGCAATATAGACAGGATGAGAAGTATCTAAATCTTCACGTTTTGGATCCTTTTTGCTGAACAATTCCTTCTTTATTTCATCTCTCTCTTCCTGCATTTTACTACAAGCAGTCAGAAGGAACCGATTTTAATACGCTGCTTAGAAATCTCCTCCACTAAATATCCAATTTTGTCACTTGCAAGTTCTACCTTCCACATAGCACTGGAACATGAACACAATTCAGCCCAAGTTCCTTCTACTTCATAACAAGGATAGCCCTTCCTTCAATTTCCAGCAACATGTTTCCACCTGAGACGTCACCAGAAATGGCCCCTCATTTCTATGTTTCTATAACATTCCTTTAACGATGATTTGTGTATTTTCTAAGATGGAAACTTTCTCTCTCTTCTTCTGAGCTCTCTAAAGAATTACCTTTAAAAGCTCCTTCATGGCAATGTTGGCTTCTTCTAGCATGCACTTCAAAACTCTTCCAGACTCTCCTCATGACCCAGTTCCAAAGCCACTGCCACATTTGGAGGCGTTTCTTATAGCAGCACCCACTTCTCAGTACCAAAATCTGTCTTAGTCTGGGAACCAATAATATATGAAGTGATTTACTATAAGGAAATTGACTTACAGAGTTACTGAGGCTGAGAAGTCCCAGGATCTGCAGTCAGCAAGCTGAAGACCAAGGAGCATCTGTGGTATGGTCCAGTCCGAGTCCAAAGGCCTGGGAACCAAGAGAGCCAATGATTTAATTCCAGTCCAAGTCCAAAGCCACAGGCAGGAGAACACCAAAAGCGCCAACTCAAGGACACTGAGAAAGAGCAAATTCTCTCTTATTCTGCCTTTTCCTTCTACTCAGGCCTTCAGTGGATTGGCTGCAGCTCACTCACACTGAGAAGAGCCGTCTGCTTTATTCAGTCTTCTGGTTCAAATGTTAATCTCGTCCAGAACCATCCTCACAGACACACTGAGAATACTGTTGAACCAAGTATCTGGGTATCCCATGACCCAGTCAAACTGACACATAACATTAGCCAGCACAGTGTGTACAGAGGGGCTTGCAGGGACTGAGGTTGAATGGGCAGGGCTGGAGCCATTTAAGAGCACACGTGTCAGCCTTCTAAGGCTTTTTGTTTGCTCGTAGCTAATAAGGAAGCATTTAAAAGTCCTAGCAGCAAGGACACAGGATCAGACTTGTGCTTTAGTTTCTTGTTAACATGAACAGTGGTGACTGAAATTCCTTCAGAAATTCACCCCAAAGACCCCAGAACAATATTTAGAGGCACTCCCATCTAGATTCACAGCCTGGCTTCAGCACTTACTGTTCACGTGAATTTGGCAAGTTGTTTAACCTCTCTCTGAGTCTCAAGTTTTTCCATCGGCAATACAGAAATTTCAGAAGGTCGCATGGATTAAATGCCATCATGCCTGAAATAAATGGAAAAAAGGATCTTTCCCTGAATGGTAGCTCTCCTGCCCTCTCTGTGGACAGTCAGCCTAGCTATGCAGCCCACATCAGCATATTCTCACCAGTATAGGGACCAAGTGATAAGAAATCACATTTCTGTGTTAGAAATTTCGTTTTACTATTTATAAAAAAGGGAGCTGATTGATAGAAGCGGACTGATTTTTACGCTCTATTATGAAAAATTTCAAACATGCACAAGAGAGAATATAGTTAATGAACTTTCATATACACATCACCCATTATCAAGATTTTGCACATGTGCTTTATTGATGCCTTTCTGTGAGTATTTTAAAGCACCCAGATATCACAGACAACCCAGAGTACCCTAAAAACGTAGGTATGTGGCTGCATAACTAAAATGCATTGTCACACCTAACAACATGAAGTAAATATTCACGTGTTCTTAACAATGATAGGTCTCTGCATTTTTAGAACTATTCACATTATAGGGACTTCGTTAATAAGTGCATAGAAATTAGTGGATAAAAATAGTTAATTTATTACTTCCAAACATATGTGTAATTTTAACAGTCCAAAAAAAGTGTTCACTAGTTAGGTTGGCTTATGATTTGAAATACAGAATTTATTTACTTTTGTTGGTTTTTGGGGGAGTAATTAGGTTTATTTATGTATTATTTGGACAGGGGTACTGGGGGTTGAACCTAGGACCTCATGCATGCTAGGTGCACACTCTACCACTGAGCTATGCCTTCCCCTGCCGTGAAATACAGAATTTAGTGAGTTAATTATATTCACACAAAGGCTTGTGCCATTGATGATGATGATAGTTTAAACCTGGCAAATCAATACTAATGCAAAAACAGAAGCCACAAGGGAAGGCTTCAGGACATTATCAACAGGCTAGCTTTGCTTGTATTATCTGTAAAAACTTGAGTTTTATCAGAATTAAAAAGCCATTGTGATGGGA